TAGTTTTAATTCTACATTGTTAGCCCTTGGTGTTGAATGTGACTAGGATCTTTGCCGGCGATTCATTTTATCTTGTTGACTGCCGCTTTAGAAACGATGGTTATATATACATAGATGGTGGAGCCAAAATGTCAGCAACACATCCATGAAGTTTGGTCATGTGTAATGGAGATAAAGTACAGTGATACAATCTCGGGTTCATTTGGTCATAATTGTGGATGTTGATGTTTAACTTATCGCATCACAGCGGCGTCATTACATTAACCTTCCGCTTGAAAGGATTAACACATTCTACGCATAGCGGCTTCATTCGTTGGGCTGAGCAGCAAACGTACTGTTTTAGGAGGAGAGGGTTGATCAAGGGGAACTTATCCATGATACTCGAGTTGTCACCGAATATCTCTTACGGAGATCGTTACTAGAAGTAATCTGTCGTGTTTTCTGTGCTACACCAGAGTAGTTTTAACTTTGTATCTGAAGATTGCTTTCGTAGGAGTCCGTACCAGTAAACGCTGCATACGTAGGTCCGATCCAAGAAACCAGAAACGACCGTGACCAACAAGCTCGTAACCATGAGCATGCCATACGCGGTCGGAATCGCAATATCGAATGAGTGCATTGACAAAACAGTGAGTTGTCTGGCCAGCTTTTCCATGATCAACTGAAGTCGACGGTACCAACAGGGCGATAGACGAAGGCGCGTGCCCAGGATAAAAACATGAGAGAAGAAGAAAAAGGTGTAGCAAGCATGTATCGTGGGATTTAATCCTAAACCCTAAAGGTTGTCTGCTTACAGAAAGATTTACCTGGTGACCAGAACGTGAGACGTTAGTCTCATTCGTACCTCGTGTTTGAAAGCATGAGACTGCAGTCCCCTCCGAAGTCAAGGGCGACGTGGTCTACTGGTCTGGACGTGAGACTGAAGTCTCGTCGCTAGATATTGTAGATGACGCGTGCCGTTGACTAGGACGTGTGAATGAGGTCTCTGGGGTATCCAGTGTGGGATCCGAAGGAGACATATGGATCATTCTAGTAAGTTGGCCTTGTCTAGTAATAAATCTGGACCTAGCAAGTGGATTAATGTCATCGACCTTTGCTGGACTGAGTCGATCAGTGCTGACCGTGTTGATCACGTGGAAAGGTCCCTCGAAGGCTGTTGCAAAGGTTTGCCTACCGAACCTACTCGCATGAAAACAGATAGAGGAGTAAATAACCCTCAAGGAAGAGTGACCTGTCGATGTTGTATTCGAGTTCACACCGGAGGCAGTGTTTGCACGTACGCTGAAAGTCGTTGGACGTTATCTGATATACATAAAAATTCCACGGACAGATGCAATATCGTACTGGATACAAGTTCAGAGGCGGAACATTAGATATCTTCCGTTGCTGCTGCATGGTCTCCAACTAATGCCTCCTTTTTTGCTAACGGAGTGGAGAGGGAAGGCCCAAGAACTGTGAGATAGACGAAATAATACACACAGCAAGTAAACTGTCAAACTTACGCTTAGCGTAAACTAATTTGTCCAGTGCCGTGGAGGTTTTGCCGTGACTGTGGGTCTGCAGTTGGTGATGTGGCTTACCGCAAAATTAATCTCCGATAGAATCTCCTCAGTTTAGTTACTTTGGGGAATTTATCAAATGTAACACAAAATAAATAATCATACAAAAAAAAACATTAGTGATTCGGTAAAACCCATGGAATTGATATTCGACGAAGTATCGATTAACTACAGCCTACGCGAATCGAGTAGCAATTCATAGAGCTGTAAGGAATCGATACCGAGTTCGGCTTTGGGAATGTCAGCAGGGATGAACGTCCATAGATACTGTCGTCGATTATTCAGGTTGATCGTCAGCTGTCGTATACTGTAGATAGGAATGACAGAAACACTCGCAGCGCGTAGTCGAAGCAGCGTAGCTTGATACTTGCTGCCACCAGACAACACGACAGAAAATTGGGCACCTGTATCCATTGGGTGCAAAAATCTTGCACGTAAAATAAATGAGCAATCTGGGGTGACAGGAGGAGACATGTGAAATAGAAATGAGCTGCACCTCGGAGTCTATTATATTAAAGCTAGCTACCGTTTCAAAATGCTGTTGCAACAAGTATAATATATTTTGAAGGACAATACTAAGAGTATGGAAAAAATGGTGACAGATGAATAGTAACCTCATCGTAATTGACTTCTTTGGCCGAAACTTCAGCTGACAAATTTCAGTGACGCGAGCCGCAATTGACTATGATAACTACTGCACACTTATTACGAGCCTGTCACAGAGAAAATAAAATAATCCATACGAGTTAGGATACTTGTGTGGTATTTCGTGGCATCAAAATGATGCCGAAATCGTTTCAGAAAAGAGGGTCAAAATTAAAGAGTCGGTGGAGCCATAATGGCAGCGACACAAACAGGAAGGTTGCGTGTGTGTACAGTGAAACAATCCCTGATACAATTGGTTATAATTGTGAATGTTTCTATTCAACCAATCGCGTTCTCCATAAAATTGTGTCCGATACTAAAGTTGTGCAGTTTTCACTACGAATCAATGTAGCAGGATAGTGTTGACTGGTTTTCATTTTCCAATGAGCCGTAAAAACGTTTTACTGCTTTTCCTGTCTAACATGGATTCGGAGATTGAGTCTCACTATATTCGAGAGCTAGGTTAACTAAAATGTTGCATATCAGACACCTAATTTGTAATGGATGTCGTTGACCAACGCGTTATTTTCATCCCCATTCATTGAAAACTACCAAACACCTGTAACTAAACCAAAAGAATGAGAATCGAGAGCAAAGAAGTGAATCGGTTCAGACTAGCTTGTGAAAAAGATATTGGATATTGGATGCTGGATATATTTGACCTCGCGCGCCACAGCTATGGATTTGGTACGTTGCGTTGAGCCTTCATATTTTCAGTGTAATTAGGTCTACTTAGTTATTACCAAACTATTAAACTAACTCCTATCCCTTTCTTACACTTTGGTCCTCTCTCACAATCATTATTACCAATTAATAAACTAATTTATATACATATAACTTAGTTCTGAAATCCTCTTCCTATTTGCATTACAATTTTCTCCCTTTTATTCTCCACATTACAACTAACTGGTCTCCAGTCTGGTAATGAGATAGCTGCTGGTATCCAGAAACCTGACAGACTTTAAATAAGCGTATGCATTCAAATCATGGGACATTCAAACTTACAACCAACTGACTGGAATTAGACAGTCAAGTGGCTGGACCCCCATTCATTGGACACTACCCAACACCTGGAACCGTACCGAGGAAACAAGAATTGAGCACACAGAAATCAAGTGGTTTATACTAGCTCGTGAAAAAGATTAGAGATATTGGAACTCTCTTTTTAGTTTCTGTATCGAGTTTATGACGATATTACTACTCACTATCCCCTTTTTATCTGAACATCGTTTCCGCTTAACGAAAGTAGGTTCTAACAGTAGTTACGTTTAAGGCAGAGCATAATTTCTCCATTTATGCAGTTGGCCTAATTATCGACCTAGTCTGTAACCTTTATTCACATGCAGTAATATTTCTCAAAGCAATGAAAACTGTAGGTCAACAATTATTTTCAGTTCCAAATTCACCTTAAATCTTATGGTCAGTAATTACAGTCTGCATATATGCTGGTTTTCAAGGGCCTATCGATAGGTAGACATGTATTGAAATATCCACGTCAATCTAAAACCTAACTAATATTGGTGAATTTATTAGGTACTTTACTTGATGTAAACAGGAAAAAGATAATTCGGCATTTAAATACTGTCAGAAATAGTGGCAAGAAGAAACGAATGGTCATAACTGTAAACTTATCAATGCTGAGTCTAGATGGCAGGGTCTGACAAAGGACTCCAAGCAACGCTTTGATAATCGCTTGAATTTAGAGAATAAAACCGATTCTGTCTAGTCACACTACTTTGTTACTGGTCACAAAAATAACTTCGTACTGAAGCTAGATTATCTACTTAATTCTCTGATTGATATCCGTTTTTTGGATTATTCACTTCGTGTTAAATCTCATCTGTCGGGCCCAGCTTTAGTAGTACTTTTTGACCACAAGGCTGCACTTGATGAACCTTTTATGACAATTTCCTACTGAGAGGTGCCGCGAGGAAGTATGTAAACTGGGAGGCTCCTCACCCGAACATCTGGTCTGAGCTTACGAAATGTTACTGGCAATGTTGAGTAGTTTTCGCCAAGGAAGCCTGCTGTTCACTTTTTACTTAGTTTAGTGATGGAGTTTCGTTCTCTGAGTTCAATGTTCTGGTTGTGGAGCTCTCTTTTTTTTTCTGAACAACATCAGCACAAAAGTCAGGTAGAAGTGAAGTATTCAAATCTTTCCACGTGTGATTCGTAACTTATTCTGTTGACCCCGATCTTAATTGGTTGTTATTGACCCTAATCCTGTCGTCCGTACCTTTATTTTGATTGTATCCCCCTTTGATCTGTTTCTTGATCCTATGTTCGTCTATAATTTCTCTGATTGGTTGATAAATTGGTTCAATCTTGATGTGTGTTTATTGCTGATATCCTTGAGCGCCAAGCTCCTAAAAATTCTCTAGTGTTCTCTGTACTCCTTTTATCTAGTACTTCAACATTGTCTCGCGAACCGCGACTTGATATTCTACACCGAAAAACTCGGCTCAGTTCAGTTGTCAGTGACTTCAAGGATTCGTGTCATGTTTTGGCTTCGCCACGCTTAGCTCTCTTTCAGCCCACCTCTACATCAGATGACATTGCTCGTCGGGGCAGTCGGTGGTTAGGCATATGTTACACATTTCTGAACCACGTCAACTGATGAAGACTCATAACTTCATCAATTGATCTATCATTCTTACCAGCACCCTTTTCCTAACACCAGCATTGCTTAATTGGTGGTCCCAAAATACACGAACACTGCTTCCAAGACACCTATCTATGATCGAATATTGGTAACCTACAAATAGCCGCTATTCTGATTGGTCATGTAGAGTAGGACGAAGCTAATTCCTGCTCAGTAAACTCGTTCTTTGGTTAGCAGATGCATATCTCGCCTACGCCATAAATGATGAAGTTGGCAAAAGCCAATCGAGCCTTTGTATCTGTGTCGAGATTTCGCCACACGCCAGGCTATCATGGCTGATGAAGCTCCCCTGGTAAGTGGAGCAGCCAACATGCTCAACTACTTCACTCCTTATCAATAGTTCAGGTGCCGACGCAACCCAATCCTGAAGCAATATTTTGCATTTAAAGGGGCAGAATTGCATCCCGAACATGTATACCACGTTGCTTAAGGTGGTCAAAAGACTGCATTTTGTCAGCGTCTTCATCAAACAGATATATATTATCTGCATATTCTAAGTCTGCAAGTTAATCTCCTGATATGAATTTGACCCCATGAGAAATCAGACGATGAAAGTGTCGTCTCTTAAAGTATGTCAATGCGAAAGCCGCATAATAATGCAGAAAGTGGACATCCCTGACGGACATAACTTGAAGTAATCGATTCCGATGACAGTTCGCCATAAGGTCTCACTCGACCGGTGGTGTTAGAGTAGAGAGCTTGTATAAGGTTAACGTACTTCTGGTACTCCTTTCAATGACAGGCACTGACACAGAACCTTGCAATCAACAGTCAGACGACGCCTTAAGTTCAAGGAATACAACTATTGTCGGATGCCTAAATGTGTGTCCGTATTCTAGGATCTGTCGTAGTCAATCAGTCAATCATCACCAACGTAGAACTTCGTACGTACTTACGTACATCAGTTCAAGTTGCCATAATACATTAGCACACAAGAGCAATTGTCAATTCAAATCCCCTAGTAGTATAGGTAGTAAAGGTATTAGGAGTAATCGGGGAGATTAGAGTTCGAAGATAATATTCAAGAAGTAGAATCTAGTGAAATAGACTTGAAAACAAAAAGGTAAGGTGATGAGGAATTCAGAAAGTTTGAATTTGAGAGAACACAAATAATGAATGCACCTGCGCCATTGCAAACGATTCTGAGCCATGTTATTCAAGGTCTATAACCATCGATTACTATCATCTCGCAGACCCCAACCAGGTAGCCTACATTTACCGACATGATTCAGTCCACTTGTCAGTGACTTCATGGATTTGTGCCATGTTTTGGTTTGCCCGCCCCTAGTTTCCTTTCAACCTATTCCTACATCGCAAAGCAGCTCGTCGAGGCAGTCGGTGGTTAGGCATACGTAACACATGTCCCAACCACCTCAACTGAAGTTTCACTACTTCATCTACTGATTTACCATCCCTACCTAGAACTCGTTTCCTAATGACAGCATCGCTTAGTCGGCTGTCCTAGGATATACGAGCAATACTTCGGAGACACCTATGATCGAAGACAAGCAACCTAGAAATATCTTTTACTCTGACCTGCCATGTTTCACAGCCATACAGTAGGACGGAGCGAACTGCTGCGCAGTACACCTTATCTCACTGAATTATATTTCTTGAATAATATCTTCGAACCCTAGTCTTCTTTATTAACATTAATACCTCTACTATCTTTATCACTATGGGATTTGATTTGACATTTGCGTCTCTGTGCTGTGGTATGACTACATGAACTTCTTTACATACGTACGAAGTTCTACGTTGCAACTGACTGACCTTTGGTTACCAGACGGATATCTCAACTGCGCCATAGGTGACGCAAGTTGGCAAAAGCCAATCGAGCTTTCTGTACCCGTGCTGAGATTTCGTCACACACCAGGCCATCATCACTGACGAAACTCCCAGGATAAGTGAAGCGGTCTACACACTAGACTACTTCACTCCCTATCACTAGTTCAGATGCCATCACAAGCCAGTCCTGAAGCAACGTTTTGCATTTCGAGGGTGAAAACCATATCCCGAATATGTTTGCATTGTTACTTAGGGTAGTCAAAAGACTGCATTTTGTCAGCGTCTTCACCAAGTAGAACTATGTCATCAGCATATTCTAGGTAATCAAGCGGTTTTACTGGTAGAAGGTGCACTCCTGAAAAGTCGGGCGAAGATAATTTCATGTCCAGAAGCATTTCTATGACAAAATTAAACAAGAATGGAGAGAGTGGGGAGCCCTGACGGACGTCAGTTAAAGTAATCAATTCCGATGACATTTCGCCATAAGCTCTGAATCGACTAGTGATGTTTGAGTAGATGGACTGTATAAGGCTTGTGTACTTCTTTGGTACACCTTTTAGTTACAGACTGCCATAGAACCCCACGATCCACAGTCAAATGCCGCTTTTAAGTGAAGGAATAAAACTATTGTCGGACGCCTAAATGCGTGTCTGTGTTCCAGAACCTGTCGTAGTGTGGAAATGCGGTCTATGCACCAACGTCCAGGTCCGAAAACCAGCCTGGTTTTCTCTAGTCTGCTCTTCACTAGCTCTAGTTAGGCGTCTAAGTATAATCGAGGCTAGCAGTTTAGAAACTATAGTAGTTGGACTGATTCCTGTGATTGTCACAAGACTTGTACTTCCTTATAAATTGGGACAATCAGTGATTGAGACCAGTCGGATGAGATTATGTCCAGTTCCTAAATTCTACCTAAGATTTCAGTCAATCTAGCTGCTAAAACTGGACCACCTTCCTTAAAAATCTCAGGGATCAATCTATCAGGACCCGCTGCTCTCCCTTGCTACTGATTTCTTATAACTTTCTCAACCTCATAAATAGTTGGAGGACTTACATCAATGTTAGGATATTCATCCAATATCCTAAGAGAATTAGTTGTAAGTCTAATTCTATTGGTCAAATCCTATTAGTCGTTCTAACTATCAATGTCACATACTACAATGTTGTTTCCTATTTGACCTAACTGTATAAATATGCATTATCTGTAATGTTTTATGATCCGGATCCTTAGTCCGGGCTTCTTTTCTTCTGGACTCGAACCTCGTACTTTTTGGATGCTTAAAGAATACTCGTTCTATTTCATATCAAGTCTTCCTCTATTTAATGAGGTAGGGTGGATTGGGACGCTCAGATTAGAGTAGCCTGTCGTGTCACCGGATCATCGATCCTCGCTCTCATTTACTAAGGTAAACTCGTAATAGTTCGAGCATATCAGTTGATGTGGTGAAGTTGCGTGCGTAACAATCAACTTGCCATTCAGGGCGGCTGGAGATCGTGGGCAACCAAAGTGAGGCTGAAGGCCTGTTGAACTGATCCCTAAAGTGTTCTGCCCATCGATCCAATCTCCTGGATTGAGAATGAATAATAAAACCATGCATTTTTCTCAGACAGTTTTACAGTCGGATTCCCAGTACCGGTTTCTTTGATGAGTCTTAATAGTAGTCCACTGTTGCCTATCACCACTGCCTTTTCCATCTCCCTTGCTTTCGTACCCACCACTGTTCGCGATCATTGCGTAGGTTTTTTATCAGCCTGCGCGTAAGCTGACTCCGATTCCAATCATGTTCAAAGCTAGACGGTATGAGTTTCCGAGCATCTATCATTTCAGTAGGTGCTACTGAAATTCGTTGATTCTCCCCAACCTTATGGTTTATCTTACTAGCAGATATTACTACTGTTTCCACAGCTTTCTGGATATGATTTCAAGCTGCCTCAGGATGGGCATCATCTACATGGCTGCCTAACTGTTTTTCCAGTTGCTCCTGAAATATACTATAGTCTTTCCTTATACCACAGGTGATGCAATTTAACAGAACCCTGGGTCATATAATGAGAGTATTGATAAGCTAAGACCTCGGCAAAAATTCTTAGTATTAAGGTATAAGACAAGATTCTTTTATCGCTTCAAAAATAATTCTCAACCGCTCGGTAGTGAGTTTTTTGTTATGGTCTTCATGTTCAACGAACAACATATTGATTGGACACATACAAAGCCGGGTTTACTAATACTCAGTGCTACTCGTAATATTTCTCATCTTCACAGATAATTTTTACTTGTCTCAATAATTTTATTCCAGGCCAATCCTCTCACTTGTGTCATGGATTTGATGCGACGCCTACCACCGCAAAAGATTAATCAGACTTTGGTGGATTTAATCTCGCTTACACCAGAACACTGTGAAGATATTTTAAGCTCAGTGGATCAACCGCTGAAGATAGCAAGAGACGTACATGCTGATCGTGACTATTTATTATGTGATTATAACAGAGATGGTGATTCTTATAGATCACCTTGGTCAAACACCTATGATCCACCACTAGAAGATGGAGCTATACCAAGTGAAAACCTTCGTCAGCGAGAAATAGAAATTAATAGAGCTTTCGATCAATACAGAGAAATGTGAGTGGTTTAACTATAAGTGAACTAAACCTACTCTAATGTACAAATCCAGTTCAGTTGCTAACCTTATATACTTATGGAGAATTACTAAAACGCTGTTTGAACTTTTATGCATCTACATCGCAGTGCTAACTACTACATATCATTTGTAACTCATACATAACTACTGAGTTGTGCTAGATTGTATGTGAATCCACTAAATAGTACAGAAATATTTGTCATGGAAATGGAAATTGCGTTATTTGTCACGGCAAGTTTCCTGGATATCATCAGGGAGACTTTACTTAAAAAACTGTAAGTACCGGTAATCTTGCGTAGTTGACGTCGCAAATATACTATCCAGCTCACCAAAACCAGAAGCATTCACCTGGTTTACAGCTTTTCATCATTTCATATCATAGATACTTTTAGATACTCATCTAAAACGTTACGTGACTATATTTCCCAAGGGTCGTAAAGTTTTACGTGATTATGGGAATCCAGTAACCGAGTTAAGCTTTACGTGTGCTATACTTCGAGCCACGTTTTTTTCAGTATATGAGCTACCAGTACTATTCGGCTGTCCAAACCTAACTAAATGTAGTAGGGTTGAAACTTGCGAACTAATGACTGGGAATCAAGTGCCTTAACCACCAAATCTGTTGCTTCATATATTTATTAAAGGCGATATATTATTTGAATGATAATAGTGTGAGTTGCATAAATACAAAGGTGTGCCAGTGAAAGTTAAACGTGATTATCTAGTGGAAAAGACAAACAGGAACCCAGTTATGCTAATTGTTTGAAACATTAAATAAAACTGTAAACCCGTCAATATTGACTTCACTCGAGTCGCCGGTTGCACTTGTACGTATGAATATCGCGTATCAGTATCGAAATTGGATACTGAGCAACACAATAGAAAGTAGGATTGTTAGTAATAGTTAATATTAGATATTTTCGTCGGTGTATTATAGGCTTTGACCGCTTCTTATCGTATTTGGGGAGAAAAAATGGTTGTTATATACTTTCACGGTACTACCTATCCTGTTAAGCTTTCATTTTTATACATTTTAGTCAGCAGTTTATTAAAATACTCTCTGTGCTTGTTAGTAGTAAAAGTTATTTGACCACTGTTTATATTTTGTAAAATCAGGTATTATGAAGGAGGAATATCTTCGGTTTACCTCTGGGATATGGATCATGGATTCGCTGGAGTTGTTCTGATAAAAAAAGCTGGGGATGCTAAATTAGCTAGTGGATGTTGGGATTCGATACATGTTATTGATGTTGTTGTAAGTTGGTAATGTATAACTGCTAATCTATTAGCCAATTCTTTTATTTCGGATTTAGTTTAATATTTAGTTCTTACGGTATACATCATTATAATCATAAACTAGTGACTTGATGATTAAAATATTTGGCATTCTGACAAAATAGGTCACAGGTGCACATCTTCGGTGTAAAGAATCAGCTAGTATCATTCAGAAAAATTAACAATGTTGCCAAATAATACTATACTTGGTGTGCAATTTATATCATATGCTCATCTTATGATTTGTGTACCTGGTATGAATAATTTCTTCATACTGTTGTTTACATCAACAAAGCAACAAACTTGAAAAATATGCGGTACCGGTGTCTCATTGTATCTAACCTAATAATGTAACTCATGTTTGTGTACTCGGCCTTAAGTCAATGTCTGTGTAAGATTTACTTGAATTACGGACACCAGAATAGGTTAAGCGGATTTGGAACCTACGGTGTTTCGTGTGACCCACATGCTTCCCCGGTACACTCCACCACATCTGCATTTGGATCATCATATAGATAGACAGATACAACGCAGAACTTCGTACGTAAGTACATCAGTTCAGGTCTCCATACTACATCAGCACAGAGACGCGACTGTCAGTTCAAATCCAAGAGTGGTAGCGATAGTAGAAGTATTAGCAGTAATGAAGAAGATTAGGGAGCGAAGATATGATTCGAGAAGTATAATTCAGTGAGATGAATCTAGAAGGAGAAAGATAGAGATTATGAGGAGTCGAGAAGGTTAGAATTAGGGAGAACACAAAGAGTGAATGCACCTGCGCCGTTGCAAACGATTCTGAGCCATGTCGTCCAAGGTCTCTAACCATTGGTGACTTTCATCTCGCGGACCCCAACCAGGTAGCCTGCATATATCGACATGACTCAGTCCACTTGTCAGTAACTTCATGGATTTGTGCCATGTTTTGGTTTGGCCGCCCCTAGTTTTCTTCCAACCTACTCCTACACCACAAAACATATTCGCTTTTCCATATACTTAAACATAGCTTCCGATGGCTGTTCCGCAAAATGGCTGCATTTTTTGAAAACAATATGGTGAATTTAGTAACAAACCTATGTGTTTCCTTTCCCAGATGAATAGATATTTTTGTATATAATCATACATAACTTATGCAACATCTGTTTAATGCAACGTAACTATCATAAGTTGTTATTCACTGATTTATTGACTAAACCGGTTATTGTTTTTATGGTCTTACTTATGATCCGGTATGGAAAGTGTCTGGATATACTAGAGTATTGCGATTCCTTTAGGGAAGGAAGTGGATGGTCAGTCAGTCAGCTACACGTAGATCATCTTATGTACATACATACATCAGTTCAGGTTGCCATACCACACTAGCACAGATGCGATTGTCAATTCAAATACTATAGTAGTTGAGAGAGTAGAATGGAGAAGATTACAGTGCGAAGATATTATTCAAGAAATATAATTCAGTGAAACAAATTTAAAAGAGAAACATAAAGGTCGTGGGGAATTCAGAAGATTAGAATTAGAGAGAACACAACTAGTGAATGCACCTGCGCCGTTACAAGCTATTTTGAGTCACTTGATTCATGGTCTCTAACCGTTGGTTACTTATTGTCTCACCGACTCAAACCTGGAAAGATCTGAGGGAATTGATTGTGAAAAGTTTGTAATCAGTGGTGTTGCCAGTTAAAGTAAGTGTGGCTGACCACTGAGCATGAACTGACAGTCACAGCTCAATGGCTGCTTGATTTATGAATTTCTCCCTATTATTTATTTATACTAGACTTCCTGAGTGTAACTAGTTGTAATTGCGTTGAATAAAATACTGTCTAGCGTATACTCTGTTTCTCTGTTATTAGTTATTAATCGATTTATTCTGTATCCATTGGGCATCCAGTTTAGTGGTAGCGAAATGTCAGTTGCTGATCGTATTATTATGTTAGGGGGTACCTAGCATGTCATATGCTCTGATGGTGCTAGTGACTTTCGAGTTGCCTGATCTGCCAAGGGCGATGGGACAGCACATGGCGCAATTGTTGTACTCTAGGTTCAGAGACAGTCGTATGCCACATGCATGCACTCCGCCTCGTTATTGTTCCTATTCCCTCGCCCACAGCTGCTACCTTGACGTGACGGTCGGGCTTGCCTATTGTGATGACCCGACCGAGCTATATTGGCTGAAACATATGTTCCTGTAAGTTCTACCATGCTAGGCAGGTCGATTGGAGAACGATGAAACTAAAAGCAGCTACTCAAGGTCTAAGGGCTAAGTCGTCCTGCTGACTGTAGATGGGTGTGATAGCAGTAAGGTATTTCCCTCCGACAACCAGCATCTGCAGCGATGTTGCCTTCTCACAAGGAAGAAAGGGTTAGAAAATGTCGACCCTAAAAATGTCACACCTCACCCTACCTCACGGATTTCCGTCTCCGGCGGTAAAGCTTTTTAAAAAAGAATGGCGGTAATCTTCAAATCTTTTAATAAAAACGCCATGTGGGGTCGGCTTCACCTCTGGTTGAGGGGGGGGGCTAATGGCGAAATGTCATCGGAATTGATTACTTTAACTGACGTCCGTCAGGGCTCCCCACTCTCTCCATTCTTGTTTAATTTTGTCATAGAAATGCTTCTGGACATGAAATTATCTTCGCCCGACTTTTCAGGAGTGCACCTTCTACCAGTAAAACCGCTTGATTACCTAGAATATGCTGATGACATAGTTCTACTTGGTGAAGACGCTGACAAAATGCAGTCTTTTGACTACCCTAAGTAACAATGCAAACATATTCGGGATATGGTTTTCACCCTCGAAATGCAAAACGTTGCTTCAGGACTGGCTTGTGATGGCATCTGAACTAGTGATAGGGAGTGAAGTAGTCTAGTGTGTAGACCGCTTCACTTATCCTGGGAGTTTCGTCAGTGATGATGGCCTGGTGTGTGACGAAATCTCAGCACGGGTACAGAAAGCTCGATTGGCTTTTGCCAACTTGCGTCACCTATGGCGCAGTTGAGATATCCGTCTGCTAACCAAAGGACGAGTGTACTGCGCAACAGTTTGCTCCGTCCTACTGTATGGCTGTGAAATATGGCCAGTCAGAGTAGAAAATATTCGTAGGTTACTTGTTTTTGACTATAGATGTCTCCAGAGCATTGCTCGAGTATCATGGGACAACCGTATAAGCAATGCTGTCATTAGGAAACGAGTTCTAGGTAGGGATGGTAAATCAGTAGATGAAGTAGTGAAACTTCAGTTGAGGTGGTTGGGATATGTGTTACGTATGCCTAACCACCGACTGCCTCGACGAGCTATGTTGTCTGATGTAGGTGTAGGCTGTAAGAAAGCTAGGGGCGGGCAAACCAAAACATGGCACAAATCCATGAAGTTACTGACAAGTGGACTGAGTCATGTCGGTAGATGTAGGCTACCTGGTTGGGGTCTGCGAGATGATAGTAATCGATGGTTATAGACCTTGAATGACATGGCTCAGAATCGTTTGCAATGGCGCAGGTGCATCCACTCGTTGGGTTCTTTGAAGTTTTTATCTTCTCAATTCATCATCTCTATTTTTCTTTTTCGAAATTTAACTCACTGAATTCTACTTTTGAATTTTATCGAACCCTATTATTGTCCACTATCAGTCATACCTTTGACTATGGGATTTGAACTTTGAATTGCATCTCTGTGCTAATGCAGTATGGCAACCTGAACTGATGTACTTACGTGCGAAGTTCTACGTTGTAACTGACTGACTTTTTATGTTAAGATAGTATTACGCGGCAAACAACAAATGTTTTTACTCTCCCAATTGGTTAATAATTGAGGAACGCAGCTGCAATCTCAAAATTGTATAATGATATATTTTTTGTTTGATTGTTTGTTGTTTATATGTTCACACATCTTTATAAGTTATAACTTCCTGTCTTAAGCTCCATGTATGTATTTATTGTAGGAAAGAACTTCTGCTAAAATATCTTCATACAAAGTTACAAGTACCATTATGTTATGGCTTCAAACTCAGCGGGAATCTGCAGGTTATTTTAACCTAGGTGGTAGTCTTTCAAGATACAATGAGCGTGATCTTCCTTTGGGAGACTCAGCTGTTGCAATAACTGAGTCACATATTCTAAATATTGGACGTCTAGTAGAAGTAAGTGATGAACTCGTACATTAACAAGGAGTACTCCTAATTAATTTGTAATTAATACGTTAATAACATCGTATGTGCGAGTTTTCATGTGACTATCTGAAGTCTTCCTGTTTCACGTTGAATTTATTTGGCTCGAATTACACCGTGTGAGCACTCCGGAGTCCTCAATTTTATGGACATAATATAGTTTTGTGGGATAACACCTATGGTCTAAAGTTAGGTTTAATAATGCAATGTTGAACGTGAATGGGTTGAATTTAAGGGCAAATACCTATCAAGTATCATTATTCACATGACCTAAGATTAAGATCCATTGTCTTTCTAGGTACTTTTTTACGTATATATTTGCGATTTGGTACACTGTTGAGTCTCTGTGATCAAATAACGGAGCTTCTTTAACCTGTAAAATAATACTGACTAATATATATATATATATATATATATATATATAATACCGATGGAAACAAAAAGAAAATTTATTATTCATCAGTTAATCCGCAAAATATTTTTATTTCTATACTATCATATATCAATATTATAAAGCTAGCAAGCTGAAGTTTTTTGAAATGTTAAGATTTTACTAAAAGGTTTTATCGAAATTTAGTATTGTGTTGTAAATAATTGGCGTTATTTTTTTTTATACGTTTGTTGCTTGGCTTGTTCATAAAAGTTTATCTTTAGGATCGTTGTTAGAAAACTATCGAACAAAAACTTGACATATCCAGTAAAAAGTGTCCAAATTCAGTATCATTCCTATATCAATACAATCAACCTCTGAAATTGACATAAGATATGTTAGTGTGTATTTAATTAACACATTATATTGATTACTTAATAGTTTTACGAAAAAATCACTTGAGGTACAAAACTAACGGCTTCGATATTGAATTCCCCGGTTTTCACTTCCTAGGTTACTATTTCAAATCTTCCTTCATATATTTTGGATTTAAGTAGAATTCGGTAGTACATTACTCTCTTCAAATAAACTGTACGTCTAAAACCTGTACATTGCATTAGGTAGAAGAAAATTAGTTTTCCAATCTCCTTAAAGTTAGTATTTTAATTACGTCCCACATTAGACAGTTGAATACAAAATATTCATCCTCTTACTTATTTATATATTAAACAGAAAGTTGCGACAAAATTGACTAGTGATATGCGACTAATATCAAACCATGTTTATGGTTTTTTTTCTAATCATATCTATTGACTGGTTGTTAGTGGTTTCAGAAACTTTGTCATTGTGAGATAAGACATTTAACACAAAGCCCAACACAAACTTTTTTTAAAAACAATGATGATAGTTTATATTCAACAAGTTAGTACGGCATACACGTCGATTTAGAGAAGCTATCAGTACAGGAAGAAGCTAAATCCAAATGGAATATATATATATATATATATATATATTAATAACTGACTGTTTATGGCGTAGGCACACCTGGTCTTCAGTCCTCCAGTCGGTTACAACGTAGTTTAGGTTGCCATACCCAATTAGCATAGAGACGCAATTGTCAATTCAAATCCTATAGTAGTAGAGAGAGTAGTATTAGCGGTATTCAAGAAGTATAATCCAGTAAAATAAATTTAGAAAGAGAAAGATAGAGGTGATGAGGAATTCAAAAGATTAGAATTTGAGCGAACACAACGAGTGAATGCACCTGCGCCGTTACAAGCTATTTTAAGTCATTTCATTCAAGGTCTCAAACCATTGATTACAATTGTCCCGCGCACCCTAATCAGGTAGTCAAGTCAACTAGCGAGTCTCCGATTGGAAGATCCACCCCTAAAAATTCAGATGAAGTTAATGTTATCTATTAAGCATGTCTATGACAAAGGTAAACAAGAATGGAAAAAGTGTACATCCTTGGCGGACAACTTGAAGCAATGAATTCCGAAGTCAGTTTGCCTAAATTTGTGTCTTTCTTCTAGGATCAGTCGTAGTGTGAAAATGTGGTCTGTGCAGCCACGTCCAGGTCTGAAACCAGCCAATATTTTGGACACTATTATAGTTAAACTGATTCGTCTGTGATTATTACAAGAGGACTTTTGTCCTTTTTTGCAGACTGGCACAATCAGTGATTGAGACCAGTTAGACAGGATTATGTCCAGTTCCCAGATTCTCTCTGAAATTTCAGTCAATCTAACTGCTAAAACTTGACCAACATCCTTAAGAATTTCAGAGGTCAATATATCAGGGCCGGCTGCTCTCTCTCGCTTCCGATTTTCTATAACCTTCCCAACTTCATAGAGTCGGAAGACCTCTACCAACTCGCCATTTAGGTCGCTGTGGATCATGGGGAATATATGTGTGGCTGAAGGTTAAGTGAACTGATCCCTAAAGTGTTCTGCCTATCGATCCAATCTCTTGGTTTAGGAATGAATGATACAGCCATCCTTTTCCGAGATAGTTGCACTAACATATGGGCTCCTTGATAAGGCGGAACAGTTGTCTGGTGTTACCTATAATCGCTGCCTTTTCCATTGCTTTTGCTTTTTCATCAGTCTGCGCCTAAGCTGAATTCACGTTCCGTCATGTTCAGAGCCAGGCGGGATGTTTTCTGAGCATCTATTAGTTCGGCAGTTGCTACTGAGATCTACGGTTTCTTTATAACCTTATGGTTTACCTTACTAGCAGATATCACTGCTGTTTCTGCAGATTTTTGGCATCATTCCAAGCTACCTCGGGATGGGCATCACTTACATGGCCGCCTGACTTAGCTATGCTATCATTAAGCAGAATGATAAGAGGTCTTCTTGCAGTGTCTTTCTTACGTCCAATAAGCCGCGAACAAATACACGCTCTCACTAAATCCTAGTCTGAATCTAAACATGTGCTCCAGAACGAGCGACAGTCCTCTACCGAACTCCATTGGCCGCTGATATCGATGTGATTTATTTGGGTCTAGCGTTGCGACGACTTTGGTGGTCACCATGTCAAAAGGTGATACAAATATTAGTATGGAAACTCGTGCAAACCTACCAAACGTACCATATAAGGTCACATGTATCTTCTCTTACTGGTCAATCCCATACTCTATTGTCTGGGCATAATAAATTCTATGGTTCAATATTTTCCAAAAAATTATTCATACTTATCATAATCAACAGTTTTCAACACATCGTAGTCATCTATTTCATGCATCAAATCAAATAAATGTCTTTATAATGAGTAGTAGGTAATCCCATCTTTCAAAAAATTTAATACTAGATTTTAAAATGCTTAGTTAATGTAAATAAATAAATTATAATAAATGATTTCGTATTTTTAATACGTTCTTAGTTGAGGAAGCATGTAAACTAAACTTAAATTGTTGTCGATCTCAGCAGGAGAAATATTTCTATGCACAATAAAGCACTATTTAGTCGTTGTGTACTATCATATTTTTTGAAATCTTTTACTAGCACAATACACCTATTCCGTTTCCCTATCCTATTTCTAGGAGGTTGAAAACAAAATCCGTTCAACGCTCAACGAAGTGTATTTTGGTACAACTAAGAATATTGTTGACTCATTACGTTCTATTGTACCTGCCTCAGAAGAGGAGAAACGTCGGCGTTTAGTTCAAGAGGTACACACAGCCTTACAAAATAAGTCTCAGTTATAAATCCGCTTCACTTTAGCACCTTTGGCTCTAATAAGCGCTAATAATGTTTTGATTTTTCTCTTATGTACTGCAGTGTGTTCAGTATTTCATTTAAACACTTACTATTCCATTTTATGCACTATTTAGTAGTGTGATCTTTATCTGTGTTATTTGTGAATTTTAATGTACTTTGGACTTTCTTATGCTCATTATTAAAAAAAACTTTTGACATCGGTTGTTCCCCTCTTTGGTTTTTTCTACTATATCATTCCTATTAATAATATTTCTTGAAATCAATTTAAAGGATCAACCCGAGTACGTCTGTTTCATAATCCTGCTTCAGAACTCTCGTTATGCAAAGCCGAATCATCACAGGTCCTTTCTTTCAATAACACTAGCTGATAATAATGTTTTTGAAACTGTTATTGACTTAATTACATATTTGGAATTCGGGAAAAGGTCAGACCAACCAAGTTTCATTCGATTTTGTGTATATTTTTTCTGTACCTAGTTTTGATAAACCTCTAGTTATTGGCTTGTAATATTGTTGTGAGGGTATTTAGGATGTTTTCGTCACGTTATTTTGAATAAAACTAATTTTTAACATTTGTTAGAGTATCGGTTGGACGCACATCTATTTCTTAAATCTCCATGATTTTTCTCGAGAGACTTTTGTTGAACTTGAGCTTAAATTTCATCCCAAATGTATTAAAATGGAAATAGAGTATGTAAACTGCAAATGAATTTCAACCTTACCTTCATCACTTTCTAGTCACAATTTAGACAGTTGGAGATGTGGGATTTTTCCGTAGTATGGTGGTTATGTACTCATTTACTGTCCACAGTTTGACACCGTCAAAATAAGCGAGTTCTGCATCCAAAGCTTTCTCTACTGGATTCCTTTTAGTAGTCTTTTTTCCCAGCAAATGTCGTCACACTTTGAATTATATTTTGTTACTGATTCCTATCCCCACTCTTTACTAGGTAACAATTCAAAGATGTTCTAATGCACATCATCTAGGAACGTCGCATGGTGCCTCTTACATGCTAACCATAGAGCCTTGTACCTATAAGTCATTAATATTCGAAGGATCGTATTGCAGTGTCCAGAACTTTAAGTATAGGCATTTCTGGGGATTCTGAATTTCAGGTTCCCTAAAGAACCAAAACGTAGGGCTAGTTCTATTGGAAGCTGATAGCCCAAGATCTTACCTACAAGATAATCTTATCGTATTATATTGTTAGTGCGTCTACGTTGCCTTGAGCAAAAAGCTTAGTTTGTTTCAAATCCATTTATAAAATCTAATTTCTCCTAATATGTAACATGAACTTTACGTGTATTGATATTCGGCTTTGATATTCTGTATTGTTTCACCACCGATTTCATAAATATGAATGAAATATCGGTCTCTCCACTAACCTTGGTGGATTGGCTTGTAGATGAAATAATTATCAAGCTTCTCATTCTTCTGGATAACATCAATTCATGAGTCGGACTAAAGTAGTATTTCTGACGGTTTTGTGAACTATAATTCAGTTTGTTCTGATGTGCATGTTGGGGAATTATTGCATTCATGTCTGAAGTCCATCACCTTTGTTATGAACTACTACGAACAGATTGGTTTCCTTGCGTTCGCTCCTTGTTTTTTTCGGTAAGGTTCCATGTACCATTTCAGTCCACTTGTGGCCGCTTGATCTTTGAGCACAAATCCATGTTTATGTGCTATTTTTTTTAGGTGGGTGAGTATAAATGTCTTTACCCAACCACTTACACATTCGTCTAACCAAACACGTTACATTACGTGAAATAATCAAACAGTCTTCCCGCTAATTCTAGTTACCAAGTTCTGTTGGTAATATATGGAAGCTGCCCTACGGTACTCGTGTGATCAACTATTCCATGTTTGTTTCTACTGAAGCAGTGTTTCATTGGCGTAGCCACATCGCTCATGTGGCGAATACGTTTAAAGGAACGTTCACTAAAGACGGTTCATACTTCAGGAATTGCCTCATACCGGCTGATTATCATTACTACAGGTATAGCGCATCAAACATTACATATATCATGGAAAACTGCTAAATTTCTCTGTATCTGATAGAAGTTTGTTGGCGCGTTTACGAGATGAGTTAACTATCTGACAGTAATCTTACATTTTTTGATAGAACAGTGAGAAGACGTAATTGATCTGGAAAATTGACCTTTCATTAATCTTCATATAAAATGCCTTGACCAGATTGTTCAAAATGCATAGCGCAAATACATCACATTTTTCAGATCAATTACGTCGAGATATCCGTCTGCTAACCAAAGGATGAGTGTACTGCGTAGCAGTTTGCTCCGTCCTAATACATGGATACGAAACATGACCGGTGAGAGTAGAAGATATTCGTAGGTTGCTTGTCTTCGATCATAGGTGTCTCCGATGTATTGCTCGTATATCCTGGGACATCCGAGTAAGCAATGCTGTCGTTAGGAAACGAGTACTAGGTAGGGATGACAGATCAATTGGTGAAGTATTGAAACCCCATCAGTCGAGGTGGTTGGGACATGTGTTACATATGCCTAACCACCGACTGCCGCGACAAACTATGTTTTGTGGTGTAGGAGTAGGTTGGAAGAAAACTAGGAGCGGCCACATCGTAACATGGCAGAAATCCATGAAGTTACTGACAAGTGGACTGTCATATTGGTAGATGCAGGCTACTTTGTTGTGGTCTGCGAGAAAATTGTAACCGATGGTTTGAGACGTTGAAGGACATGACTCAAGATCGTTTGCAATGGCACAGGTGCCTCCACTCTTTGTGTTCTCTCTAATTCTAACCTTCTCAATTCCTCATCACATCTATCTTTCTCTTTTTAAATTTATCTAACTGAATTATAATTCTCAAACCGTAACTTCGATTCCTAATCTCCATTACTGCTAATACTTCTACTATTGCTACCAATATTGGATTTGAATTGACAGTTGCGTCTCTGTGCTATTGCGGTTTGGCAACTTGAACTGATCTACTTACGTACGAAATTTTACGTTGTAACTGACTGGCTGACAGTGCATGGTGGAGGCGACAAAGCAGTGGTGAATCAAGATAAAATTGATACACAACACTTAAAATAAGTTGTAGTAATATAGCCATCAAATTGGAAAGTATAGCATTCAAGAATAGTGGATCGTGGTGTTTGCCAAGGTGGATAGAAGCGAAGTAAGAACCTGGATGTCAGTACATTGAAGCCGTCAGTTTAGGAGGGAGTGAAGTTTGTGAAAAACATCGAACAGCTATCTCAGCATATTATTGGAAGCATGAGTCTCAGAAGTGGCAAGCATATAAGAGCAATATCAGTATCTCTGATTTTAGTCTCCTCATCAATCAAAAAGTCGGAAGCGGACAAAATATTCTGCCCACAAGCATGGGTGGATTGAAGTCATCGCCCTCAACATCAATGTTTACTGGGCAGTAACTCAACCCCCTCAGCCTTTTGTGCTGATAGGCTCATTTGAAATGATTGTAAGATTATATTTTACCATCTACTCTAGGCTTTATATTCCACTTCCTGTTGAGAAACAATATTTCTGCAAGTTCTATTCCGCAAGCTTGTCTGCCTGTTACAATTTACGAACTATGAGCTACGTATCAATGTAATACAGTTAACTGTTATGGAGAAAAAAGTACGGGTTTTAAGACAAACTGTAAGCATTTACAGAGTGGTACTAACATACGTATTTTCAAAAGAAGGCTATTCCATATGAGTGCATACTTGGTGAGGAAGTTTTCCTGAGTGTATACGCTAGCGCCATTAGCTCAGCTGTTATCCCTAATCATATGTCTCGGTTTCGAATTTCTGACATAACTGAAGAGGAAACAGTCGCATCCAACCTGATTGGTCACTCAAGGATTTGATTAAGTGGATGAAGGCTCTTGTTGTAGCACTGATTCCTAACGGCTCAATCTATGAAGGTAAGCTTGAAATAACTGAGATGATTTCGATTGGCCGTTGGACGCTTGAAGAGGGTCAGGAACAGTGAACGCTGGGACACGTCATCAAGATGGCATATCTCGATCATGCAGGCGTGATCACTATGTAATCTCTAGCCCTTGAGTGTTATTCGGAGGCCTTGGAGAGCATATTGTTGACTGTCATGATAGGACGAGTGAGTAGTGACCTTGGTTTCACTACTGCTTTATAGATTAGGTGGTTACATAATCGCAAGTCTAAAACTGTGGAATAGCCCTATTATTTTAACAGCATAAATAACCACAAATAACGGCGTGGACTCAAATTCTGTACTCTTGCTGTGTTAGAAACTTGGAAGCGAAATGGTGAAACAAACCTTAGGATTCAGGGTTTACTGGCTGCTAAGTCTTGAAAACTAATGCTCCAAAAACCTTCATTAGTAGTTCAGGTAATTTCCGAGACACCTGAAGTACGTACTGTACAGTAGTTTTAAAAGTCAAACTTGTGGGTTTAGCCTGATGACGGATGAATAAAGTCTCGATATAATTGTCACCACATAAACATGTCTCGTAGATGTAAAACGTTACCCCAATCGCTGCTGGATACATTTGTATTAGAACTGATAGCTATAAGTCTCAAGTGAGTATGATAATTTCATATGCTGATCATCACTTTCTTGTAAAACCAAGTAGATTAGAGGTGCTCGTTGTATAGGGAAATGTAGACAGAATTTAGTGGCAATAGCAGGTACGTACTGTGGTCCACTTTGTCTATAGACATATATGTGTATGGGGTAAGGCTGACTTTTGTCTCATCGTTGAATATTTCAACACGACACTCATAAAATGGATAGAGATTCAGATTCCGTGATCATGCTTCGATGGAAGGTTGATGTCCATTACTTTTCACTGCACACTCAAGTACCGTATCGCGAAAACCGACACATTGATTAAGAACAGGAAACAGTGTTGTCCAATTATACGGCTGTGATGATGCGTTGACATTCTGTACTCATTCCTTTTCTTCATTCTATTTTTCAGCACCTCATTATGCTCTTTAAATATTGGTGTGAATAATTCCCGAAGACTCAGTTGCTTTATACAGGAGCCTGTAAATTTATTATATAGCGAGTTTCAACAACAGTATTATTACACACTTACCTCATCAATTTTTATTATATCCAGGTCTGCATTTGACTCCGACTGTAGACACTTAGGGGCTACTTCCGGTCCTATGCCCGGACAATGGAGGAGGGTTGGGCATGGGGTTGGCGCACCCATCCCACCAAAAAAACTAACTTGCCAAAAAACGCTAACCAAAACAAATAATTCAAACCATTTTATCTCTGCCCTGTGAGTTCGAAGAAGAATTATGATGAAAGCCGAGTTCCCTCGGAATTCCCGAGACGGATGACTCTTCTGACAACCAGAGCAACCATTCTTTTAGGTACATGGAACGTTCGTACATTGTGGAAGACTGGAGGACTATTTCAAGTTGCTGCGGAAATGAGAAGATACTACCTGGAGGTGCTCGGCATCAGTGAAACGCATTGGACACAGGTAGGAAAACTGAGACTAGCTTCAGGAGGACTGCTGTTATACTCTGGTCATGAAGAGGAAAATGCTTCACATACACAAGTACTTGCATTGATGCTGTCCAAACAAGCACAAAAGGCACTGATAGGATGGGAATCTCATGGACCAAGGATCATTAAGGCATCCTTCAAAACAAAGGAGGACATTACAACCAACGTCATCCAATGTTATGCATCTACCAATGACTAAAATGACGACGTTAAAAATCAATTCTACGAAATGCTGCAGTCAATCGTTGACAGATGCTCATCAAAGGATTTGACGATTCTAATGGGAGACCTAAATGCCAAGGCTGGTATGGACAACACTGGATATGAAGACATCATGGGACGACATGGACTGGGAGAAAGGAACGAAAATGGTGAGAGGGTT